TATATATATATAAATAATATACAGTATGACATAAAATGGGAAGGCCCTTTAGGTCAACCTAATTATCACAAAAACGCCATTCTACATTCAACACCAGTGCAAATAAATGGGCGGAACAGTTTTATAAACGGAACAGTTTTATATACAAACAATGAATAAAATGAATGCTTTTAAAGCATGCTGTATTCACCTGGCTCTAGGGTGCATAGCAGACGCGGCGCTCTTCTAGAGATGCCGTTGCGTTTCTTCAGCACATTACTGATCATATTACCGACTCCTCCAGCTGCATTCTGCCGTTTCATACAAACCCTCGACCTCTTAGAGGAAACAAACCTTTCCTGCTTCATCTGGAGAAAACCCTGAGAGGTCCGTTTTACAACGATCTCATCCCGAGAATCATCTCATCTAAAAAATATTCCTCCTACTCGTTATGATCGACCTGATCAATAAATCAGAGGAAAACTCATTTCCACTCGAGGTCCTGGGAAAAATGTCACAAACACATTTCAGCATAATTTATCCTCATACGTGAAGATGCGTGTCTGTAACTGAGGCATATGAATTATAAATGGAATAAAAGCATCAAAGGCGATCGAAAAGAACGCGGAGTGTGGGAGAGGCGGAATATCGCCGTAATGCGCGTGTCTACACACACATATGAGCGTCATATTCGGGGTTGAGAGGGAGGAGGGACCGCTGGAGCTCTGGAGGATGGGCTAGAGACCAGAAACAATTGCCTGTACATGAATGACTAGTGCCATGCTTCCAACTTTAGCCTTAATCTTTATCGGCAAGGAATAAGGAAATACAATACCATGTACTATCAAAGTTTTTTTTTTTTTTTTGCAGAAATGCCATAGAAGAAATATTTTTGGTTCCCCCAAAAAATGTTTGGTTTTAGTGAACAGATCTTAAAGGGATAGTTCATCCAAAAATGAAAATGTGATGTTTATCTGCTTACTCCCAGGGCATCCAAGATGTAGGTGACTTTGTTTCTTCAGTAGAACACAAACGGAGATTTTTTACTTTAACCGTTGCAGTCTATCAGTCGTATAATGCATGGCAATGGTAACAAAATCTATGAGAGTAAAAAAAACATGCACAGACAAATCCAAATTAAACCCTGCGGCTCGTGACGACACATTGATGTCCTAAGACACGAAACGATCGGTTTGTGCGAGAAACCCAACAGTATTTATATCATATTTTACCTCTAATACACCACTATGTCCAACTGTCTTTGAGCGCACGCGAGGTGTGTACGCGCTCTGGCGTAGTTTACGCAAGCGCTGGAAGTGATCTCTCATGCGTATACGTCACTCATTGTTTACACAGTGCACAAACATTGGTGTTTTCGACGGCTAATCAAAATGGTACTTACTTGCGCTTATCCAGATTGTTCAACCCGACTTAAAACTAAAAGATTACTTACTCTCACGCGAACTCATTCGGGTGTGGTGACTTTCCACGTATTCCCAACTTCTGAGCCTGCTCGCCTGAAGTTATGGTTGATTGCTCTTTGGCTGGATATCAACACACCCATTAACGTAAACTACGCCAGAGCGCGTACACTCCTCACACACCGGATGCCGTGCGTGTGCTCAAAGCAGTTGGACATAGTGGTGTATTAGAGGTAAAATATGATATAAATACGGTTCGATTTCTCACACAAAAAACGATCGTTTCGTGTCTTAGGACATCAATGTGTCGTCAAGAGCCGCAGGGTTTAATTTGGATTTGTCTGTGCATGTTTTTTTACTCTCATAGATTTTGTTACCATTGCCATGCATTATACGACTGATAGACTGCAACGGCTGGAGTTAAAAATCTTCGTTTGTGTTCTACTGAAGAAACAAAGTCACCTACATCTTGGATGCCCTGGGGGTAAGCAGATAAACATCACATTTTCATTTTTGGGTGAACTATCAATTTAAAAGAATTTCTTCTTAGGGTTAAGAACATTTTATAAACCTAAAGAACCTTTTTCCATTCTAAAGAACCTTTTGTGGAATGGAAAGATTGAATGTCAAAGGTTCTTCATGGAGCCATAGATTCCAATAAAGATACTGAGAAAAATCTAAGAGTAAACAGATGAGTCTTGATTTAGGACCCAATAAGGGTAAAATCCTGAGATAAGAATAAGGATAAAATGGTTAAATTGCCATAAATTCAGTCATACAAGCGATCTGAATGATTTTACAAAGAAAATGTTGTACTTTAAGGAACACAGAGAAAGGAGTATGTTATTTTAGGGATTAATTATTAGTGAAAGAGATAATGAAAAATTAGTCATAAAGCAGGTTTTCTCATTTTATGCTAAATGACAGTGTATTCCAAATTCAAGCAACTATCCAGACAATAGGGTAAAATCAGGTAAGTTTGATCATTAACATTATATGATTGTCCAAAAGTCTCCCAATTTACCCGAACCCTATGAAGAAGAACACCCTTAATGTGACTAACGAGAGACACAAAACAGTTGTTTAAAATTTTCAGGCCAAAAAAGAAAGTAATAATATGGAAAATGTATATTTTTCCATTGAATGATAAGCCTTCTAGTATATTTTCTGACATGCATTTTAATGAGAAAAGAACAGTGTTAAACCGTGCTACTCATGTTTACAAAAATAAACATGTCAACAAATAAAAAAACTGAATCATAACCATTGACAACTACAAAGTGTCTCCTCTTGCATTAAGATTAGACATTGACTGCTGAACGGCAACCATGTAGAGTAATGATTTTGATGTGATTTCATACTGTACCTGTTTGACAGTGCTTGTCATGCTGCATGTAGATAAAATGGAGGAAAAAGACATTAAAAGATGCAGAGACCGCTACATTTGTTGGACATGCACGTGCCTGAACCAAATATATGAACAAAAGCACCCATTGCATTCAAATGTGTAAGGGAATTACTGCTGGACAATGACTAATTTGCGAGCAAAATCCAAATTTGAGTTCAGTTGTTCAACAACATTACAGTGCTAATTTACATGTCAGTGTCATAAACTCATTACATGAATGTGTCTGCTCTGAAACCGAATGGATTGAATTTCAGTGATATTGAACAGAGTCTGCGTTTTGAATCTAATGCAAATAATTCAGTTGTAAAGGTGAGGAGGAATCAATCATGTTGTAGCGGTGAGATATTTGAGAACACTGTCTCCTAAAATATCAACAGAGAACTAGAACAAGGTGAAGCAAAATTGCATTTGATATATGTGAGCCTGAGTTTTTCGGCAACCGCTACCTATGTAAACTATATTAAACACCCTTTTAAAGGAATACTTCACCCAAAAATGAAACTCCTCAGGCCATCCAAGATGTAGATGATTTTGATTATGCATCAGAACAGATTTGGAGAAATTTAGCATTACATCACTTGCTCACCAGTGGATCCTCTGCAGTGAAATGGTGCCGTCAGAATGAGAGTCCAAACAGCTGAGAAAAACACCACAATAATCCACAAGTAATCCAGTCCATCAATTAACATCTTGTGATATGTTTAGAACTGTTTTGGCTTGTAAATGGTGCTTGATCTGTGCATATTTCTCTCCTGATTCAGACGTGGCGACTTTAGAAATATCATGGAAAGAGAACTCATATTTTGTTTGGAAGGAACAGTTTGAAGTTTTCAAAAAACATCTCGATGCATTTGCTTTTCACTTTACAAGACATTAATAGAGGATCCACTGGTGAGACAGTGATGGTAAATTTCTACAAATCTGTTCCCACAAAGAAACAAACTCATCTACATCTTGGATGACCTGAGGGTGAGGACATTTTCAGCAAATTTTCATTTTTAGGTGCACTATTCCTTTAAAGCAGCTGAATGATAACAGACAACAAGCGTCAGTGAAAGCGAAGACATGCTTTCGATCTGGAATACATTAGTCTTCAAATAGCAAAGAAGGCATTGGGTAATTTAACACTGCTCAAAGCAATAATGACCACAAGAGGAGTGAAATGAGAGAATGATTTGTAATTACGTCTTTTCTGAGAGACGGCTTGCAGGCAGGCGGTGACTATATCACAGTTCTTCTGAAACTTCTGCCGAAGTCTGTCCTTCCTCTTGACCTGACGCACCAGTTTGGCCGACTGCACACCAATACGATACTTCACTTCCTGAATGATCCACTTCAGCTCCTCTGGACCTGAGCACAAAATAAAGGTTGCTAAACGATATGCATTCATTTGATAGAAAATAAAAAAGCATGCAACAAATCAAATTCATGCATGCAAAACATGGAACTTATGTAGAAAGATTAAGATCGTTATGATTGACTTAACACTGTGTATACATATGTACAAAAGACCTCTGTATGTAAATTGTCATGATGGCCTACAAAGAACCTGAGCACCTGAGACAACAATTAAATTACTTCAGCAAACAAAGGGTTAAGATTTAACTGGCTCTCAGAGTGGCGTTATAACTGGGTCAGTTCACATACAGCATCTGGGCAATATCTACAGTGTGGCACACTATACTTCATCTAAAACCATTTTAAATGACCTAATCATATTGAGAGAATATTACTTTTAAATTTTACTTAAGAGTAATGTCACTCCAAAATGCAAATAAGTAAATACAATAAGCTTAAATTTTTTTTTAAAAAGTCTAAAAAATGATGAAAAATTTAAAAATGGTGAAAAACCTCAAAAATAATTTTTTTATAGCATGATTTGAAATATAAATAAATATGGGTTCTAAAAAAAGGGGAAATTCTGTAAATTATTAAAATATTTATAATGCACACATACTACCAATCAAACGTTTGGAAAAAATTAAGATTAAATATAAAACGGTTATCTTAAACTGTAATATTTCACAATGTGACAGATTTTACTGTATTTTTAAACAAATCTTAATTATTCCAAACTCTGGACCCGTAGTGTATGAATAACATAAACAAGAATAAATGAACAGTCTGAATCGAATTTAATTGACTTCACTTGAAAAAGAAAGTGGTGCTCACCTTTTTGAGCCAGGTATTTCATCTGATGGCGTCTCGTGTGCTTCTCCTGAAGTTCTTGGAGGAAGTTGGAGCCAGTGTTACTCCTTCCCAGGAAGGCTTCTGAGCTGGAGGCTTCGGTCGAGCTGTCCACTCCTCTGACACCATTACTGTATGTGTCATAGAGCTCCACTAACAGACAGTCCACTATAGAAGATGCCCGGGACGCTCTCAGATCCTCTTCATCCGAATACACACCTGCTTCATGGATCCCCCCTCCCCCTCCTCCTGCTCCTGCTCCTGCTCCTGCTCTTGCGCTCTCCATACGGATCTCTCCAGCTGGTGCTCCATGAGGCACTTTTGCGCACTTGGATAGTGAGACTGAAGCTGTTTTGGCGCGCTCACAGTATCCATCAGATACTGAACGTCCATTTGCAACCCATTTGTGAAACGCTGAGAAGCCGTCAAGGTACGACGCACCTGAGTTGACGAAAACTCCGCTCTCCTCCTCCTTCTCCTCCTCCTCCGAGCAGATGTCTATCTCCTTAAGTTCCTCTTTGGCCACTTCCACACCAGACATGTTTTAGCCCTCTTTAAAGCTCAACATTACACATTGGTGCACACATGCTGCGCATAAGTACAAACCAAAGAGTGTTTTAGATGAATCAATAAGGAACTCGAGTTCCGGGTGTGTTCCATTCCTTGAGCGGGGTTGGCAGCGCCTTCCCCAGCCTCCAGTTTCCTTCCTGAACGGTCTAAATCCTGACTGCACGCCCCTGCAGCAGGAATAGTTCAACCCTCCTCCGAAACTTTTTAAACAAAGTTTGTAAACAACCGGTGAATAAGAAATATACAGCATTTACTTATTTCACAACAATAACATAAAAACATAAAAATAAAAATACACATCCAATTGTTTGTAAATGAAGGTGTCCAAAATAAATAGTTGCATTAGTTAAGCATCTGGCAAAAACTACATTTATAACGTCATGTATTTGACAAATAAGGATATATCCGAGATGAAAAAAAGTATATTTATTTTAGTAAATTATTTTAATTTAATAAAAATGTCAATTGAATTATTATTACATTTTTCTCAAACATTTATTTTTCAAGGTAAAATAAGTTACTCCATTTGATTAGAGTATAAGGTATAATTTATTCATCGTAAAAATTATTTAAGATAAATGTTTATGTTATAAAAATATAGGTTCTAAAGGGGTCCACTCTGGTTTTCTTGACCAACTGCATGAAAGTCTAAATTAAAGTGAAAAACTGCATTATTATTGTACCGTATATTATTAAAATATACAACTTTTGTAAAGTAGTGGAGGTTTAAGTAGTACAGATCACATAAGCCATAAAACATGAATTTTATGAATGACATCATGCCTTTGAGCATAAACATCAGGGCTGCGTTCAGCCCCGACAAAACGGTGCAAAACGTGTTTTAAACGGAAACGGTGGTGTGTTGAACACTGTTCTGATGAAGCAAGAGGTGCAGCTATGGCGGCTGAGAAGGCCATTCTTTGTGTTCTTTTTGAAGAATTTTCGGAGCCTGATGAAATCGGTATAAATACGTGTTTAATACTGCAAAATATGCTCGATGGTATTTTTTATTCAAGGGTAGTCCAAATGAATCCAGAAGAGAAAGAGCCTGGCTGATTATTCTCTTATTAGCAGCTCCCATGATTCATAACTCATTGAGAGCAGATTGTAGGTTTTTGTGTGAAGCTACATGGATCATGGAAGCCATTTTTTTTAAAGACCAGTAAAATATACGTTTTTGTTTATTTATATTTTTAAAATTCCATTCATTTTAATATTTTTTTTATGTACTTTTGAATGTTTTACATGTATTTTTTATTTGAAACATTTATTTAAATTTTATTCCTTCATTTTAATTATTTTAATCCTTTTTATATTCATATTTTTTATTTCTTTATTGTAATTTTGATTTTAATAATTTATTTTAACAAGTTTTAAAACTTGTTTGAATTTTTTTTTTAAACAAGTTTATGGAATCAGATTTGTTTAGAGTGAAATCTCCGCGATGATTTTAACATATTCCTACAGGAGAGAAACTCCAAATACTACAACTACACACTGTCTGTGAATGGCAGGGCGCAGCGGCATGGACAGAACTACAGCGAGGATTACCTTACAGATGTTCTGGTAAGAGCAGATCTCACCTGTGTACACTACATCAAGCCTCATGTAACTGATGTTAAGTGGCTTCTGATTCCATCCAGGCCAATATTTCCATTGACTTCCTGGAAAACAAGTCTAACCGCAGGCCTTTCTTCATGATGGTGTCCACACCGGCCCCGCACTCACCCTGGACAGCCGCTCCTCAGTACGAGAGCAGTTTTCCCAATGTTAAAGCACCAAGAGACCCTAACTTTAACATACACGGCAAGGTACGGGCCTGATGTGTTGTAGATGTTCTGAATGGATGCTTTTTTGAGTATCTGACAGCATTTCAACCTGCATTTCAGGACAAGCACTGGCTCATCAGACAAGCAAAAACACCCATGACAAACTCTTCAGTGGAGTTCTTGGATAACGCCTATAGAAAACGGTATTCAGATGCTTTTAAATCGCTTGCTTGATATTTTAATACTGCACATGATGTAATGTGCTACTGATGATCTGTTCCAAAAGGTGGCGCACTTTACTATCAGTAGACGACCTGGTGGAGAAGGTGGTGAGAAAGATTTATTTATATATATATATATATATATATTACTACCGTAAAGTTTGGGATCAGAACAATTTTTTTAATGTTTTTACAGGAGTTTCCTATGCTCATCAAGGCTGCATTTATTTGATCAAAAATACAGGAAAAAATGTAATATTGTGAAATATTATGATGATGTAAAATAACGTTTTTCTATTTTAATATACATTAAAATGTAATTTATTCCTATCATCAAAGCTGAAATTTCACTGTTGCCCACATTGATAATTCTAATAATAAATCTGAATATTAGAATGATTTCTGAAGGATCATGTGACACTTATGACTGGAGTAATGGCTGATGGAAATTCAGCTTTGCATCACAGAAATAAATGATATTTTAAAGGATATTAAAATAGAAACCATTATTTTATATTGTAATAACATTTTGCAAGATTTCCGGGGGGGTTTTTTCTGTATTTTTTATCAAATAAATGCAACCTTGATAAGCATAAGAGACTTCTTTAAAAAACATTACAAGTCTTACTGATCCCAAGCTTTTGAGCGGTAGTGTGTGTGTGTATATGTATGTGTATATATATATATATATATATATATGTATATGTGTGTGTATGAACAAAATGTGTCATTAATAATTTATCTGTTTTGATAGTTACTTATAGCAAATGTGGATTTGGGTCCAACAATTCTGGACATCGCAGGATATAACGTCAATGAAACTCAGATGGACGGGATGTCATTTCTTCCTATCATGGTAAATTCTGTTTGAACTTATCAACTTTAAAATTAATAAATATAAAATGCATTTAAGTATTGGCATTCTTGGTCATTTTGGGCATAATGCACATATTTTTTATATATATATATATTATATATAGTGTTTCTTGCTACACATTCAGTATAATTAATAAGGGGTTGCATTTCATTTGAGCTGTCTTTGTGTCTCAGACTGGAAAAGGGAACAGCAGCACGTGGAGATCTGATGGACTGGTGGAATATGAGGGAGAGGGAAGCAGCATCTCAGACCCAGCCTGTCCTCTGCTGGGCCCCGGGGTCTCGGTGAGGGTCTGCGTTATAAATATAAATAGACATTAAAGTAATCACAAAAAAATGAGTGCTGTAACACAGCTGTTTTCTCTGCAGGAGTGTTTTCCTGACTGTGTGTGTGAAGACTCGTACAATAACACGTACGCCTGCGTTCGCACAGTATCACAGGCCGCCAACTTACAGTACTGTGAATTTGATGATAACGAGGTAAAAATAAAATCTAGAGGTTCCAACAGCTAACTGGTGCTAATAATGCCAAGTATAATAAATAAATAACTCAAATAAAAAAATTTATTTAAAAATGTAAAATATATTTTATTTAATATATTTATTGTTTATATATGATATAAAAATATTAATATATAAAATATATATAATGCGTTTATTTAATATTGTATATGTAATTCATAGTAAGTGTGTGTGTGTATATATATGTATATATAATGTATGTGTAAGTATTTGATATTTGCACTTCATTTATATGTTAATATATATATATTTTACATATGTATGCATGCTGTAACAGTGCATATTTGTAATATTTACATATAATTGTTTAATATATATATATATATATACTATTATTATAGTATGTTTTTATATTTGTATTAAATATATATTTTATTTATATATAATATTGTATATACTGTTATAGTGTGTGTGTGTGTGTGTGTGTGTGTGTATAATTTTTTTAATTTTTTCCAGTATATATATATATATATATATACTTTTTTTTAAATATAACTTTCTATATTCTATATGTGAAATTTTTATTTATATATATATATATATATATATATATATATATATATATATATATATATATGAACATGAAAATGCGTAATATTGAATAAAAATGTAAAAATATACATACCGTAATAATAGCTCTCCATCTTTGCTTGCAGGTGTTTGTGGAGGTCTATAACCTGACAGCAGACCCGTTTCAGCTGAGTAACATCGCCAAGAGCATCGATCAGGAAGTCCTGGAGAAGATGAACCACCGGCTAATGATGCTGCAGTCCTGCTCGGGACAGTCCTGCAGAACACCAGGCGTCTACGACTCACAGTCAGTGCTTCCTTAACACTTCAACAATCAGCATTCACTGGGAAAGGCTGTATTATTATTATTTTTAACATGGTAGTTTGTCTCGCTTGTCAACGTTTCACCAGGTTTAGGTTTGATCCTCGGTTGATGTTCAGCAGCCTCGTGCCTCACAGAAACAAACGACGACAGACGCTGAAGTAGAGCGTGGAGAGGTTTACAGGAAGAAGACTAATGGAGGGAAAGAATAAAGGGCATTGAAAAACAAGCCCTATTGTTGCCTTTATATCCTGACGTTCCCCCAAAGACGCCTAGTCTCTCCTCCTCTGATGAGGTCATCAGGGTGCACCCAGGGTACCAAACACACCACAGACTCTCACAGACAGGACGGCCTTCATCCCCTCCAGCCCTCATTCACATCTGTGAGAGCATTCACATCATATTCCTCTTTATTCTCAATGAATGTTCAGTTTGCTGCTTTAACAATAACACAGAATATTGTCTTTATTTTAAGTTTACTGATTTAGTTTTTCTTTTGCTTTAACACACGCACAGTTTTGAACTTAAGCTCGAATTTTGTAATGCACTCAAATTGTTGGATTACTTGTTTGTTTTGCCAGATGTGTCTGAAACATTTCGCTCCACATATTCAGTTATACAATATTTACAACTGCACTAAGCCTGCCTTTTATGATAAGCATTTATAATGGAAGCTTGTTTTTGGCTACGGGATAAAAAATAATAAAGGTAATTGCAACTTTTTAGCTCACAATTTGGAGCTAATCCCTCTGAATTGCAAGATATAAATTCACAATTCTGAAACAAAATTGCTAGATGTAAACTCAGAATTCTCACAATTCGGACTTCTCGGAATTGCAACTTTATATAATTAAAAGCGAGTTATAAACTCACAATTTTGACTTTTAAACTTTTTGAGTTTATATCTTGCAATTCTGTTTTTCAAATTGTGAGATTAAAAGTTGCAATTACCATTTTTGTCATTTTATCCCATAGCAGAAATGTACTTGCATATGATAGTGAACTACAATATTTTTAATGCACAAAATATCTTGTTGTATAAAAATATTCTCTCACTTTTTCGGTTCCTGTCACATCCATATGGCATTTCACTTGAGTTCTACCACAACTAATTGATTCACTAAGTGCAAATATTGTATTTAGCATTTCATTATTGTCTTTTCTGAGTTTTGTGTTTGACAGATGTCAGTTGTGAATGAGCCACAGGTGTGGATCACAGCAGGTCATTGATGAACCTGTGTATTTTTGGTTCTATGAGGGAAATCCTGTGGTGGGTTGCTGTTGCTTTGCTCTCACTTACAGCAGCCCAAACTTGAGGCATTAAGGGACGTTTTACTTTCAGAATACTACCTAACCTTCATCAATCTTCTGGCAATACCTCAAATCACCCAAAATGATCTGAGAGGTGGCAGACAGCCATAAGCAGATCTTTCTCACAATACTTCAATATATCTGTTCAGTGAAGCACTTTCCAGTCTGTGATCAACATGTCTGACATGTTTAATGACGTTTTGCACATAATTCTTTCATTATATTTGTTAGTAGCATTGCAAAGGTTGGTGTGGACTATTGTTTTTTTGTGTTTGATTGATAAAAGCATTCTCAAATCATTTGTAAATGCTGTTTTTATTTTTTGCTTAAAAGTATTTTTTATTATTTATATTGATACATTTTATTTATATATATACATACACACACAAATTACTGAAACCTTAACTAAAATTAAAATAAAAATGGAAAATCTAAAAACCACCAAGGTAATAATTATAAGTAACAAAAACTGAAATTATAAAAAAAAGTTGTTACTTGAAATAAATGTTAATATAAGTTAAAAAAAACTTATTTTATTACTTATTATATATATTTTTTTTTTTATTTTTACTTTATGTACTGAAATCATAATAATAAATAATTGAAGTAAAAACTATTATAAATTAAATGGACATATTCAACAAATTTACAAAAACTTTAAAATAAAAATGTAAATCTAAAAAACTAAATCAAAATATTAATAAAAACTACAATAGTATTAAACCACAATTTCTCAATGATACTAAAATAACTTAAGATTTACCCACCTTCACTATGAAGCATTTAAGAGCAGGATACGGACCAATCAGATCCAAGAATGGTGGGAAACGTCGTCCTCTGAATCTAACAGTGGTTATGCCCACCAAAAACGTGCCGCGGTCACTGAGGCAGATAACCAATCATGTTGTTCAGGACGACCTCCTTAGTGCCCGCTTGAGGCCCTTTCAACCAGAACCTGAGAACCTCTTACTTCATAATATGTGCGATGCTGGTCTCAGCCAGAAGCAGGAAGTCCTCATCAGGTGAGAAGGCAAAGCCATTAGGCATGTAGAGAGAATCCAATAACGTCTGAACACGGCCCGTCACAGGGTCAAACGAGAGACGACGACCCAGACGGTTTGCGGTTTGTCTCCAACACCTGCAGAGAGAAGCGGCCTTTAGTGCAGGTGAAATTACTAATATCTATATATATATATATTCAAATAAATATAATGATCATAAAAAAAACTAATACTGGTAATCAAGATAATAACAAGCAGACAACAGCAGTCTCAATTATATTAATCAAATTAAATGTAATATATTTATTTATTAAATATACTGATATAATAATATTTATTTAAAGAAATATTATATTCAACTAAATATTATAATGAGGCCCTAAATATAACTAACTATAATGACTATAAAATAACTAAATATAATGACTATAAAAAACAAATCCTGGCATTCAGAATTACAGAAATTGCTAAATAATTACAAAAATAGTGTTACTAATAATATTAATCAAATTAAATGTAATATTTTTATTAATTCAAATATAAATTGATATAATAACATGCTATTTATTTATATAAATATTCTATTCAACTAAATATTATAATGAGGCATTTAGGCGGTTATAACCAAACAAAATAGGCTATGCCATAACATGTTCAATGTAACTATATTTTAAAAGGATTTTGAGGCAGTCCCCTCCTAACAGGAACATCACAATCAAAAGTACATCAACG